AAATATTTTCCACAAGAGTGAATATTAATAAAAAATTCTCGTCCACAATTTTAATTTTACGTATCAGTACCTGTTTTTATTTTTCTAAAATTTGACCTTGTGTTTTGCAGTTTTGAATTAACCCTTACTACCCATATTTACAACACTTTAATTAGACACATATATAAACTCAAAACCTGTATATTTTTTTCCAATTGCAACTTCTATAATGAAAGTTCCATGATTGTTTCGACGTCTGTTTATTCAGCGTCCAGTTCGATTATCGTCCGCCATGACGGTCAACAAATCGAAGGATCGAATTATTATTTTCATAACGCAAACGCAATTAACTTCGACTCATATATATATTGTAGTACATTTTGTTTGCTTCCCCCCATTTTCTAAACTCTTCATCGACTCGAAAATATGGAAAATGTGAATGGGGTTGAACCCTTTTTTTTAGCTTGTTTTTGGGCGTCGAGGAAGATCGAACGTGCGCGAAAGGGAAGACAGACAGTCGAGAAAAAAAGAAACGGAAGGATCCTGTCGGCCGTTGTAATCGCGCAGCCCTGCATAATCCGGAAACGACCGTTTAAGTCGACGCGCGACGACCAGTCTGCCCGATCCCCCTTCTCGATTCTCCAAATACGACGAGTACAAGCATTACGGATCGACGATTGCGATCTGCGTTAACCCCGCGCGAGCCTCGTGCAAGATCTAATCTCGAAGATCGGCTCGAAGACAAAAGATACAAAGCGACGGGGGGAGGGAGAGAAACGGAGAAACTGGTACTCCCCGATCGCGGAGGGTGAAAGGTCGAGGTCCTCGACCAGGGGAATCTCCAACGAGGGGGTAAAAACGGAAATTTATTTCGTAATCCCTCGCCATTCGCTTCTACTAGCTTACTTTTTGGAAAAATTTATTTGGTCTCCCATTTCAATTTTTGGGGAAGTACAAAGTAAAAATTTATTTGAGTATAGTAAATCTAGGCTTTGTATGCACTGGGGGGTTTTCAAATTAATTTCAAGAAATATTTGGAATTTTGAAACTGATCAAATCTACTCCCATTTTCAAGTTCTCTCATTTTTCATTATTTGACTTGGAGCTGTTTTGTAGTTAAAGAATATTTACTAAGAGACAGCTCAAAGTAAAATTTTGAATTTTAGACCACGTTATACACTTATATTTTATCAGAATTTCACTTTTATTTCTATCCCAGTTTTGGCCCTACACCGGAAGTCCCCTGAAAACTTCCTCATTATCGAAGCAAGACCCTCATAAAAATTCATACAACATCTTCAAGAGTCTACCATTCAGCAAAAAAAGTTTCAAATTAATATCTTATACATGTGCCCCACAAAAAAATCCCCTTTTCTATATCATTTTCAGGCCTCCTCCATTTCTCAATATTTAACTTAAAATTAACTTATTTTACACTCAAAAAATATTCTCCTAGACGACTCAATATTCAACACAAAAATTCTATTCAAACAAACTAATAACCCTCCCACCAAAAACCTCCCCAAAAATGTCAGAAAATTAGTTCTAAAAAAATCTAATTATTTTCCTTCTATTATAAATGGTACTGATGGGGGTACGAAGAATGGGTTCATTAGAAAAATTAGATGCAACGATATCGCTCTGACAAGGGGGGTTGTCGAAGTGGGGGGGGATGCTAATACGTCCAGCGGCGATTTAAATGCGAGAGGTGGCATCTGCGACTGTGGGACGTTTAAAAAAAATCTATTCGTCCAATCCCTGTCGTCATAATAGAGAAAACTATTAGGAGCAAAGGCGCGTAACACGATAGGGGGTGCGTGAAGGGGCGCGTCGGTGCGTGGCGTCGCGCAAGGGTTACTCGTCGGATTAACGCGTCGATCTCTTCCTCTCGCTATTTTGTATCCCTGGTGCTTTTATCGTATATTATTTTTTTCGGTTTTACTGCCGCGATAAGTGGCCATATGGGGACACTGGACGCGCCGGGGCGGGGAGTCGGGCCCGAGCGAAAAAGCTCGGCTTACAATCGCATCGACGAGATCTAAAAGAGCCGCAGGGGAGCCAGAACTGGTACGAGAAGGTCCATTATCAGGTTGCAAAACATACATCTGGTCGGCGGAGGGCACGTGCCCGGGGCCTTCGGACCAAGGGCACGCCCCTTTCGATCCCCTCGTCCCCCCCTCCCCACTACAACCCCACTGGGGCCGACACCCTTTCGTCTTCGAGTAATCTTCCGGTCTGGCTGCCCGCGAAATACTCCAAAACCAGATTGGGGACATTTAGGACAATACACATACCCTAATCCATCGCCATTAAATAACAGATAATAACAACATCTCAATTTATTTCGTTCGTTGCAAATATTGTCCTCCATTTTGTTTCAAATTAATAATAAATAGATGTATGGGTCTTGTAAACACAGTAACTTGCATCAGAAATACTGTTTGTAGACTTTTAGTGTCTTTGAGAAAAACTGACCTAGAAATAGTTATATAACTAATTTATTATTAACTATCCAAAGTAACCAAAAACAGTAAAACAGTGTCTCAAGATAGAACAACGCCTCTATATAGCAAAATAATTATTTTCATTCATGGTTTCTCAAGAATCAAAGGAATCATCAGTTTTGACCCCCACACCGGAAGTCCCCTGACAACTTCCCCATTATCGAAGCAAAATTCTCAGAAAAATTCATACAATATCTTGAAGAGTCCACCATTTAGGGAAAAAAGTTTCAAATTAATATCTTGTACAGGTGTTCCGGAAAAAAATCGCAAACCCGACCCTGTCGAGCAAATGCAACCTCGATACACGTTGTGACCGATTTGACGCGAAATTATCACGTACACTTAACTAACCCGTAATCTAATTACGCATACTTTAATTATGCGGCTAAAGGGCTAGTTTTCTACGGTGCTTCGCGAATCGATCGGCTAACGATATTACCGCGTTGAAACTCGAGCACCGCGTATGGTTCGACGATTACCCCCCTTGCCAAGCGGTCCATGCACGCTATCGCGCGAGATAAGGATGTAGGCTCGAGCGTCCCGGGATCGATCGCGCGAGAGATCGATCCTCCTCGTCGTCCGTATCCTCGTCCCTTTTCTCGAGACTCGTCTCCTGTAAATCTCTATCGGGAATACCGGTTGTCGCAGACGACCACGGACAATGGGCTGTTTTTTGGAACGTGAAACGAGTCCACCTTATAGTCCGTTATATATACACGCGAGTCGTTTTATCACGAATCTCGATCCTTCCTGGCAACTCTGATTTCGAGCTCGATCCGATGGTTCGTCCCAACCATGAAAATCTCAGAATACTTCGACCCTTAATATTACTTTAATTTCAACAATTTTGGGACTTACGAGCAAATTGAAAAATGGACGTTTAAATAGACACCGGATTTGAATTATTTACGAAATTTATGGAGCTTTTGTTTTGTGATTAATATATTATATTTAGTCAAATCTGATTAATCATTTTAATTCCAACAATTTTGGGACTTATTTTTGGAGCTTCCGTTTTAACTGTGTATCAATGTTTTGTAAGAAATTTTGTTTCCACTGTTTGCAAACGAATGTCTGATATTTTTAAGTAACAGTTGGGGCTGCCATTCATTGGATTTTCATTTACATGGGACACTCGAAGACTATAGAGCACGCAGGGCCCTTTGAAAGTGTCGAAACACTTCACTGTAGAGTTGAACAGGCGTTTCAACAAATTCGAGAAACCCCCAGTGAGCGTTGGAAAAGCAGTCATATCGTGCAACGAGTTGAATTTAATATTTTTTTGATGAGATTTTCCTGTATAATAATTCGATATAAATGTTAAATTGAACGTTCGTGGAAGTCAGGTTTGTGTGGCTAGGTCTTATTGGAGCGCTTAAAAGTATTTTGCTCAGTCCAATTAGCAGAGCTCGCATCGGACGTAATCTTCGAACGATAATTGAATTAAACTATTAGGTATCGGTGGTGGCAATTTACGTTTTCAGTAAAATGGGACTTTTAAAGCGATTATTTAGTGGTGTAGGATACTAACTCTATTCAAACAATATACTTTCTCAATTCTCAGTCCATTTTCTAACTACATATGTATTTTTACATCTTTTTCTGAAATAATTTTTTCTTTTGCAATGTGGTGTGCATTAATATTCCCTAAATTTGCATTTTTACTTTTTTTTTTGGTCTATTTATTATTGACAGTAACTATAATTCTAAAAAAAAAAAACTATACGTCCACATATGTGGCCAAGGGAGTGAAGAGGTTAAATTTCTCTGATATAAATTTTAGAAATTAGAAATAATCCCAAGTTTTGACTGACTATATTTAGGAGACTCTAATGTGACTATAGTTAGATCTGGATTAGATAAGGCAAAAATTTCCCTAGAATTTTATTCTCACCAAGAATTATGTCAAATTTCACTTATACAAATTTTAGAAATTAGAAATAATCCCAAGTTTTGACTGACTATATTTAAGAGGCTCTAATGTGACTATAGTTAGATCTGGATTAGATAAGGCAAAAATTTCCCTAGAATTTTATTCTTATCAAGAATTATGTCAAATTTATCTGATACAAATTTTAAAAGTTAAAAATAATCCCAAGTGTTGACTATTTATATTTAACAGACTCTAAACTCTGTGACTATAGTTAGGTCTGGGTTAGACAAAGAAAAACTTCTCCTAAAATATTAAAAACCATACCAAATTCAAATATAAAATTAAAAAATAAGAAACAATCCCAAGCTCTGGCTACTAATAATTAACAAATTCTAAACGAGCCATAGCAAGACCAACGAAGGATGATGTCCAAGCAATTTCATTATCCAATTTCCAATAAATCCAGTGACTTTTGCAATCGAGGCAAAAACGGCGCGGGTAATGTCACCATACCATTAAACAATCGCTGAGAAAAAGAGACTTCGCCCAAAGAAGGGTAAATTACTTTTCTCGGGGTACCTAATAGCCAATCGGGCCAGAAAAAAGGAAACCGGCGTACGAAGAGAAAGGAAATGTGAGCTCACCTCTGTCGACGATCTTGCCAAAGAGATTTTTCCCACGGAGGAAATTCTTGGTGGAGCAGTTCCATCGACGGTTACGAAACTGATGCTGGCACTCCGCGATCGCCTGGTTCGCGCCCCTGGCGACCGCCATCAGCACCCCCGGGTTTTCCCTGGCCAGTTTCCTCTGCTTTCTCCTCAAGGTCGCGTAAACCGTCGGGTCCATGTGCAGGGAGGCCGGGGACATCGGCAAAAAATTGTTTGGCTCGCCAGCCTTCGCGATTCCCCTGGAAAAAAAAAACGTCACAGAGTCGTTCAGATCCTCCGAAAGGCTCTGCTCGGGCTTTCAGACCGGTTAAAAAAAGCTCCAAACGCGAGGGAAGACCGTTGCACCGTAGGCAACTAGGGTGACGAAATGTCTTAACCCCTCAGGATTTAATTTGAGACTCTACGACACGCTATACTTTCATTAGAAGCAGTAATAGACTGGTTAAAATGTTTATTCTTCTGGGAAATAGCTGATTTTTAACTCTGATGAGGAATATAGGTAATTTTTAATTCGACCCTACTGTTTCACTTGAGAATCTTTCGTACAAAAGTATGTAGATATTAATTTTTCTACCTTCACCGCTTATTTGGAATGCAGATACGATTCTTTGTACTTGTGGTACAATCCTAACCTTAATTTGGACCATTTTACACTTGTGTTAAAATAGAGCAAGTATATCACAAGTTTGAATTCAAATATTTATTGTGAGGAGTTCAAACTATGATTATATTATCACTAGATCCCAGATTCCAGGTTAATTTCTTCCATTTTTGTGCAATCTTTCCATAAATCAAATAGAAATCGTAAAAATCCAACATGGCGGAGTAGTAATTACATTCTTTCAAGACCCTACTGTTTTATTTGAGAATCTTTCGCACAAAAGTGTACATTTATTAATTTCTTAACCTCCACGATTCTTCACATGATGCTCGTGGTACAATCCTAACCTTAATTTTCATCATTTTGCACTTGTGTCAAAATATAGCAAACAATAAACATCACAAGTTTGAATTAAAATATTTATCGTAAAGAATTCAAACTTTGTACATAATAATACTAGATTCCACATGAATTTCCTCCATTTACATACAATCTTTCCACAAATCGAATAGAAGTCATAAAAATCCAACATGGCGGACATGTAATTACATTCTTCTAACACCCTACTGTTTCACTTGAGAATCTTTCGCACGAAATCGTATATTTATTAATTTCTCAACCTCCAACACTTGTTTAAAGTGCAAAAGGACCTTTTTCTAGCGTGGAGGGGGGATTTTGTAATGACAGGGTTAAACAGTTCGATGACCCTAGCGCGATTAAAAGTTTCTTTCGCGCGAATCGCGCAAACTCGATCGAGTTTCGCGTTTCTCAATCGCCCCCGGGGGCGATCGGCATTTCTCGTGCGTTCGATCGACGCTAATTTGGTTTGCGCGTAAAAACTACGCGCTTCGATCCCTCGTCAGAGAGAGAGAAAGAGAGAGACAAAGGGGAATTCAGGAAGGAGGGCGGGGAGAGGGGTGGAAGGAGCACGGGGAAGGATTAGTTCGAAAGACGAAACTGGTTCAACAGTTTCGGTCAACGGTAGCCGGGTATATATAAATCAAGCTGCCGCGCGAGTTCAGCCTGCGAAAGAATTCGCGTCTCGATCGATCGAGCGTCGCGCAGAAAAACGCTTAACAGCGTTCTGCTCGCGTCCCTTCGTGGGAAGAACGTGCAAACTTTAGAGAATCGAATCGCGCGCGGGACCACGGCCGCGATCCTCGTCCCAACTGTAAACGGTGTCACCGAATCAAAAAGTCGCACGATATTCCGAAACAGCTCGTAAAAATACGTCGAAAACGTGGAGTGACATTTTTTCGTAGGAAGCTTCGTTTCCGAAATAATCGTTGGTAAAAAATTCTTGGCGCACGCCTCGACTTTTGTCGCTTTTTTTCTTCGTCGGGCTATAACTCCGCTCTGAGTGGAGCTAGAAAAAAATTCCAAAGGAAAATTTTGCGTAATTTACTAGCCTCTGTCATTCTACAATGCAACTTTTTAAATAAATTTATTTTTTTAAATAATTCTATTTGACATTTGAAAGTTTGTAGGGTATGGTTTAGGTTATTTCTCTTATTTCTTCTACGCCTGATTTTGAAGTCTCAAGGCGATGGATTAATAATATTGAAGCTGATTTTACGATCGGAGAGACTTATTTGATTTACATAGCGAGGATCGTTCAGGGTCAATCTTTATAGCCCCGTGCAGTAGTTCCACGGAAAACGGTTAATTATTTTTCCTGCCAGAGTAGAGCGTGTTCTACGCAGAGATCGGTATACTAACATTCAAAAGTTCAGGACCACCTACCGGTCACGGATTCGTAGAATTCTCGTTCCCGTTGCAGAACGTTTGTTTGTTCGTTACGATTTATTTATTTGTCCATGGGTAAGTGGTGTACACTGTCCCTGGTACACAGATAAAAATAGTTGTCGCCGTTCTATTTATACATGCAAAACACGGACTACCGACGAGCGTTACGTAACGAATTTTTAAAGGCCGGGACAGACCCGGGAAAAGGTCAATTAAATGGCCAGATTCGTCGACGATATTACACACGAAGCGATTCCAGAAACTGGGCCGGACTCCTTTCTAAGCTAGGGAAAGTTGGTAGATTGAAATGTTGCATGGTTTGGTACGCCGTGTATTTCCCTAGCATCGTGGATTTTTTTTTTCAAAACCTATTCATTCAACAATCACTACTTTTTAAGACATTGCAAATTGTGGTTTGCAAATGCAGGTGGAAAAACATTGGAACATTGTTCTGATTTGTCCTACCAAAAGTAACTGTTGAAACGCCATTTTTGATCAAATTTAAATAGGTAATAGGAAATATTAATTTTATCATTCAAAAATTCCTAAAAAAACTGAATGATTTTATTTACAGAAAATAGATTAGAAAATATGATGTCGAGAAAGTAGCTTTCTTCTTCTAAATTGCTTTCTGAATGCATTATTAATTCTTTAAGATGTCAGGACTATAGGGCCCTGTTAAGTTGTTGCAACTATAGAAAACAGAATAACGTCTCAATTTTTCAACTATTTTAATTCTGGACTAGTTTATTTAATCCTCAGAAAATAGACTGTCCCTATTGTAAATTGTTTTCTGGATGCACTATTAATTCTTTAAGATGTGAGGACTATAGGACCCTGTTAAGTTGTTGCAACTATAGGAAACAGAATAACGTCTCAATTTTTCAACTATTTTAATTGTGGACTAGTTTATTTAATCCTCAGAAAATAGACTGTTCCTATTGTAAATTGTTTTCTGAATGCACTATTAATTCTTTAAGATGTCAGGACTATAGAACCTTCTTTAAATGAAACAAAATGATCTATCAAGTTTTCCATTATTTTAATTGGGTAATCCCCACAAAATATAGTTTCTGTTTTAAATTCTTTTCTGAATGCACTATTAACTCTTTAAGATGGCAAGACTATAGGGCCCAGCTAAGATGTTGCAGATATAGAAAATGGCGTCCAAATTTTTCGACTATTATAATTACTAGTTTATTTAATGTTTTCGAGTGATAATAATGAAATGGAAGAGGTGGAGGTCCAGGTGGCGAGAATTAGAGTTTCGGTATAGGTTAGAACGATCTACTTTTGGAGGTTAGTGTATCCCTTGCGAGCAGGGATCGGATCTCTCGTCGCCGAGCATAATAAACAGCTAATCACGGTCGTCGAGTCTCCGTCGACGCTTCGTTGTCAACGACTTTCTTGACGGCTAGCAGAGACAGACGGGCAGACAAGACAGACGTGAACCCGGACGCGATGCCACCGCGAAAAGCCTGCCAGCCGCGGCCGAGATTTCTCGTTGACACTCTCGGCGCCGTGTAAATAAACCGAATTACGATGCACCAGGGCTCGTAAAAGCTCCACTGCGAAGTGTAGGCTGCCCGGTGAGTCGAAACGAGCACACCAATTCGGTTCCTGGGCCTCCAGCATCTTCGATTCAACGCTCTCCGTACAAAACAACCCATAACCTAACTTTTTAAGAGGATGTAAACTATAGATTATTAACAAAAGATTTACTTTCAATTTTATACGCCACTAAGACTAGAATAATCTAAACAGATGGAAAGATTTTTCATCTTTATGTGATATATTCGATTCAACACACTTCATACAAAATAATCCATAACCTTACTTTTTAAGAGGCAGGAAACCCCATTGTAAACTATAGATTATTAACACAAAAGATTTAATTTTAATTTTATACGCCACAAACAGATGGTAAGTTCTTTTATCTTTATGTAATATATCAATTTCTAAGGAAAAAAAAAATTGTGTCACCAAGATAGGTTATAAAATATTTTATTTTGATATGATATACATAAATTCATAGAGAAAAGAGATTTGGGGGGACAGAAAATTGCTTAAGTAGAGTAGAAAAATATAGAAAATTGTTTTCTTTCAGGGCGGCCATCTTGAATTTCTGAAGCGCCATCTGGATGGAAGGTTAATAACAATATAGAGTACAAACTTCAGAGATGTCGTTCCAAATATAGTTTAAAGGACTTTATTTAAATGAATATATATTAATATATTTCTCTTTTACAGGAAGCTGATTAACGCCAACCGGAAACCAACTGACAATCTCTGATGAAACTTCTATCGAGGGCCTAATATTATTTGATGAGAAGAGCGAAGGAGAGCGAAGGAGAGTTCCGGCGATCGAATTTGGGCGAAATCGGGGAATCTCGGATCGGATCGCGAGTCTGGACGTAATTACTTGGGCCGCATGCCGGGCCCGTGGCGTCATCGCGCCGCGGTTCGCGTTGTTTCTCGCACGGCGGTAATTTCTTCTCGTCCTTGGGCGAACGCATCGGCGAATCTCGCGCGGAGAACGCTTATACGACGATGCATTCGATAAGCGATGCCCATAAATAAAGCAGCGCTCCGGACCGGTTAGGATATATCTATTGCTTGTAATTTACGTCGGGCAGAAAAGCTCAGGGACGACTCTCCCGGACGGTACTGCCCGGTGCTTGTCCCTCATTCTCCACCCTTCGGTGGGGGCTCCCCCTTCTAGCTTGTCCACGTGTTTTTTGCCAGCGGACACGCCGCGACCACCGAAATAATTTATCGACCCCGGAGGGCTAATAACGACCTGGCCACGCGCTCCCAAACCTTGCGATTCGAGCAATTATTGCTAAATTGCAACCAATTCGAAAGATATTGTTCACAGTTTCAGTGGATATT